GTTTTCTCTCAGGTCAACAACCTCGTATCGATCGTTATAGAGAACCTTCGTCACTTTAAAAGGTCCCTTATATTTCGGCACCAATTTTCTGCTGGCACCAGTACACGGTGCATCCGTCTTCAACACCATGACGACATCATCCACTAGATACTTTTTAGCTTGTATCCTAGCCTTGTCAAACCTCTCTTTCTGCTTTTTCTGCTCTACAGACAATCTGTGTTCAACAGATTTCCTAAGTGCCTTCAAGTCACCTCGCTCTAGCTCTCGTTTCACTGCACTCAAAACATTGCCTTCGGATAGGCTATGTCCCTTGAATCCAGCCAATAACTCCATTGCAGTCATTCCAGTTGCAGTATTAAAAGTTGTGTTCATCGCATATTGCACCGGTTTGACAAACGTATCCCATTTGTTTTCAGCAACGCCTGCCGATGCAGCTCTCAAAGAATTGAGAATTGTGCTGTTGTAGCGTTCACATTGTCCATTAGCCCGCGGCGTGGAGACAGCATTTAAAATATGTCGAACACCATAGTCTTTACAAAAATTACTAAAACTAACCGACGTAAACGCAGTGCCCCTATCCGAGATTATACGATTCGGAGGGCCGAAAATATACATTATAGTAAGTAAGGCCTTAACAACTAACTTAGAACTAGTGTCCTTTACGGGTTCAATGAAACAAAACTTTGTAAATCCGTCAACAATAACAAAAATATATTTATTCCCTTTGATACTCTTTTCAAATGGTCCAAGATGATCGATGTGGATAGTGTGAAACGGTATGGGAACCTTTTGTATCGGATGAAGATATCCTTGTTTCTTTCTACTTGGCTGTTTATAGTAGAGACAATTTAAACACGCTCCAACGTATTTCTTCACAAAACGTCTCATACCAGCGAACCAATAACTCTCCTGTATTTTTTAAGCGTTTTTCCAATCCAAAATGACCATTCTCGTCATGACATAACCGACAAATTTGCCATCTACATGATTTGGGTACCACCCAAGCTATTTTGTCCCCTAATTTTCGATATAGTTTACCCTCTTTAATTTTATACAATTCGAAATATTGTTTCATACTTTTCTCCTTTGGTTCGTCTTTAAGAATTTTCATTATTCGACTGGTTTGCTCATCTTGTAGCTGTGCTGCTATAATCCAGTCGCCTTCAGTGACGTCGATAACTCTGACATCCAAATATTCCTTGACAGGATTTCTGCTAAGGGCATCCACATGCCCCATTTGGGTTCCATGCCTATGTATGATGTCGAAATCGTAGTCCTGAACTTGAAGCCACCATCTCCCTACTCTCGGAATCAAATCTCTCTTACTGAAAGCTGTCCTCAATGCGCTACAGTCGGTAACTATCGTGAATTTTATTCCAAGCAGATAAACTCTGAACCGTTGTAACGCTAACACTACTGCTAAAGTCTCGAGCTCATAAGAGTGGTAGCGTCGCTGCTCTAGGGTGGTCTGCTTGCTGAAGTAAGCTATCACATATTTTTCATTATCCTTGAGTTGTATAAGAATTCCTCCAAACCCAGTACAGCTTGCATCCGTATGAAGTTCTGTTCTAAGCTCAGGGTTATAAATAGAAAGAATTGGTCTGGTAGCTAGCATTGATTTTATTTTCGTAAAAGCAGTCTCTTGTGAGGAGGTCCACTCGAACGGGGCATCCTTTTTTAATAATCGAGTGAGAGGTTCTACTTCTCGAGCATAGTCTCTCACGTACTTGCGAAAATATCCGGACAAACCAAGAAATTGTCGAACCTCCTTGACGTTTGTCGGTGATTTCATACACATTACTGCCTTAGTCTTTTCTAATTCTGGTTTTACTCCAGTCTCACTAATTTCCTGGCCCAAATAATTAATGCTACTATAGAAGAAGTTACATTTGCTTAACTTCAACGTCAAATTGGCTTGTCTCAATACATTTAGTACAATTTTTAATCTGTTTAATGCCTCTTTAAAATCACGTCCCGGTATTATCAAATCATCTAAATATGCGTGAACAATTTTGTTCAAATGACCTTTAAAAACATTGTTAATTAATTTTTGAAAAATGGCCGGAGCATTCACCAAGCCGAACGGCATTCGCAGAAATTCATAGTGGCCGGTCGGCGTAATGAATGCCGTTTTATCGATAGAGTTAGCAGCCATCGGTATTTGATAATACCCAGACGCAAGATCAAGCGTAATAAAATATTTATGACCCCCCAGCATGTCAATTTGATCTTCAATCAATGGTAATGGGAATTTCTCTTTGATAGTAATCATGTTTAAGCGTCTAAAGTCTATACACATCCGATAATCAGCTGTTTTCTTTTTAACAAGTAGTACTGGACTAGCATACTGAGAGCTAGATTCACGTACGATACCATTAATGAGTAACTCTTGCAACAAATCATTTAAAATATTTTTTTCTTGAATTGACATGCGATATGGGTTATAAATGACTGGTTCCTCCGTTTTACATTTAATACTCATTTCTACTAAATTGGTTTTTCCTAAATCCTTTAAAGTAAATGCGATCGTGTCGCTATACTCTTTTAAAAGACTATAAACGTTGTCCTTTTCTCCCTGAGAAATATTACCAAAATTTATTTTATCATACTCAATTATTTTCGTAGTACCCTGTATATCGCTCACGGTAGAAACATTTTTAAAACGCAAGGTGTCGCCGGCTTTATGCATGACAACATGTGGCTGATTTAAATAATCGCAACCAATAATCACATCATAAGTTAAGTATTTATCCGCCAAAACGAACGCATTTACTTCGCCGGTTGATTTGTCGATATTTACAGTGATTTTGCTGATTGTGTAGCAAGATATCATGTTACCCATAAAACATCGTAGTCCTACACACTCCTTTGTTCTAGTTAGCCGCATCTTTAAACGTTTTGCTAAAGACTCTTTAATTATTGTGCAAGAACTACCTGTGTCAATTAAACAATTTTCAACTGGACTTTGGTTTATATAAGCAGTAACTAAAGACATATTATTCTTTCTGTTCATAATTACAGACTTCGCAATCTGATTACATTCATTTTTCTTGCTCAGTCTACACTGCTCTGAATAATGGCCAACCCTTTTACAATTTTTACACGTTATTATAGGCTTAGGACAATTTTTTACAATATGCGGACCATTGCAATTATAACACGATAGTACTCTGCGTTTACTGCCATCCTTTCCTTCCAATTTTATCACCTCTTGTTTAACTTTTGACGTGCCTGGAGTCGGTTTAGTAGCAATATGTTTTTGCCTATTTATATCTATAATACTATCTAAATAGTTAGCCAACGTACCTACCGATTGAAAATTCGCAGCTCTAGCTGCTAGCTTTACATTTTCATTGTTTATCCCTTCAATTATACAATCTATAATATCTACATCATTAATATGCAAATTTAATTTTGTAATTTTTGCATATTTTTCAAAACAATAATCACTGAATTTTTGATTAGGTAAATGCACATAATTTGCTGCCTCCTTAAACAATTTTCCAAAGTTCCTAGTCGAAGGGAATATTTCTAAAAGCATCACTTTCATATTACACCATCGAGTACAGTGATTGTTTAACGAATCATACCATTTCCGAGCATTTCCACGAAGTCTGCTTGTTGCTAATTTAATTGTCAATTGGTCATCCCACTGGTATAACTCACGCAACTGATCAACCTTGTTGACCCAGTCTATACATTGTCTATTTGAGGGGTTAAACTCAGGTATTAGCGATTCATCGATATTTAAACTACTGTATGCAGTACTTACAGGTTGCTTCTCTAACAACTTGTTTTTGAATTTGAGTTCTTTTCGTAAACGTTTTACTCGCCTACGATGTCTCCTTCCATCGTCCGTCGAAGAACTTGAACTGGACTGGGAGCTAGAGGATGAACTAGAAGAACTACGCCTTTTCGTCTTCCCCATTTTGAATCACTCACTTGTAGAACTTGTACGGCACGTGAATAATCCCACTTCTGATTTGTCAAAGAATAAAACGTCCGGGATCAATAATCATGTACTCTATTTTCCTTTCCAAAATATTCTGTCCAAAAATACCTCGCACATCGGTCGTAAAAACCAGGCTCTTCTCCTTTTTTTGCGTTCTCCTCTCCCCGCGCCTCTCTCGTCCGACACCACCGCCCGCATTCCTTGTCCCTTGGCTACACGGTAGTACCAGTGGCGCATCAAGAATGTATTTCTAGTTTGAAGATTCATCACAATTGTCACCGCGAAACGGAATCCCTCTCGAAGCCAAACATGTTACAACAGATATAATTCTCTTAAGTAGATTTCTCTAGTATTCCAATTCTTTTTGATATTGCGATAATAAATCTGTATCTACTGTACCAACCGTTTTACTCCATGCCAGATATGCCATCATAGTGTGACGATAAATAGTACTGTTAGCGCCATCTGTTGGGAGAGGCTCTGACTCGCCAAAGCTTCGTGGTCGATCTCTGCTTTTACGCGAACCACGACTGCACAAGCCGCTTTGCGGCTTCTGTGAGGACCGTGGCAGTGACTAACCTTCTATATCGACGCGAAATGACCTTCAATATTCTAGATGCCGCTTTGTGGTTCACCAGACCTTTCTCAAAGCAGCAATGGGGACTATATATAACTCGGCGGCCGGGAGATGGAAACAGAGTACGGAGAACGGTATGTAGCAGAGCGGAGTGGAGTACAGTTCAGTCAATGCCGCGACATAAGAATTAGTCAGCCATAAATAGTGGTGTATACAAATATTCTATCTAGCCAAGATAAATAAATTAGTGCATTTCTTTTTGTGGAATCCAGTGTTTTAATCCGCACACAAAAGAACCCAGGAAAACGCTACATTGGTGTCAGGTGTGGGGTGTGGATTATTGGACATTTAGTGAAAATAAATCGGACGATTAGTGAAGGAAGAAGGGCGCGATTGGTTGATTTGAAAATTGCCGATTTAAAGAGAGAGCTGGAGGAAAGAGAGTCCGACCTTGCTGGAAAGAAAGCAGAATTACAGGGGCGGCTTCGCCAAGCACTGATTGAAGAAGGCGAGGATCCGGATAATTTCATTTTTTACCGGTGCAGGGGATATCGATTCAATGCTGCAAAACCTTTTGACTAAACTAGAAAATAGGCTCGTGGAAAATTGAGCCAACCTAGAAGGAAAATTCTTCGAAAGTACAGCCAAATTAGAAGACAACTCTTTGGAAAATACTGCCAATTTAAAAAAAGAATTGGATGACAAAATTATGGAAAAATGTTGCGAGCTGGAAAAACGGATTTTAGAAAATTTGGAAAGCAGAATTAGGACGCCAGGACCTAAATCCGCCAGTAATGCTTCTCCAAATTTTGAATTTACCACTTTTGCTGAGTGTGTCGCAAATGGTGTTCCAACTGGTAGGTCCTTTAATTTTCACTGCTTTACGGTCTGCAATCGAAGATGCCGCATTAATTTTTGCCAAATCCATCTATAACAAAATTGAGTCGTCTTTTACTACTTTGAAGCATCAAACGAAATAAACGTACTAAACAAAAATGAAGGCGAGAAACATTCATTATCTTACACGAACACTTCAAAAAAATACACATAGTTGCACTTAGAGACATAAAAAGGAAAAATATTAAATAAAATAGCACACTTACTTACTTTTACTTCGCTCCTCTCTCTTGTAGTACTTTTGTACTGTAGTTGTTGTTGTAGCGTTGAATGTGAAAGAATGATACCTACTGCATGCGCTCGTTCAATATAAATACCATGACCGATATGACGCAAGTGCATTTTGCATATAATTTCTTAGTAATCCATGAATACATCGTTTGTCCGGAAACTCCAGATATATCGTTTAGATTATGCCTCGTTTAAAAATCGTAAATACATTTATGACTAATATGATGCTTAACAGTATAATCGATATGTTGAGCGGTGTGCTGTCACTATTTATAATGTTGTGTGTGTGTATGTCCCTGCGACAGTGGGTCTAGCACGATTTTTAAGGACACGTCTTGCTATATTCGATAAGATCTCTGTGTCCCTATAAGCGACCCCCACACACTTTTCACGTGAATGGGGCTTGTCTCGATCTAACGATATACTGTCTTCGGCCTCGATATCGACCCCCTTGTATGTGAAGATACCAGCGCACCATCCAGGTGCGACATCGGCGCCATCTAGTGCTGAGAGGCACAACTCTCACACCTCCCTGTATGTGGATCACTCTTCGGCACATGATCAGCGCCATCCTATAGACAGGTGCGACAACTCGACACATGATGTGTGTGTGTGGCGCCATCTAGCGGCGAGATCCGCAACTCATCAATGACACTTACAGATTCCGTTTGTGTAGCGCCATCTAGCATTGAGATCCTCAACTCGTCAATGACACGTGACGTTTGACAGATGACGTGTGTGGCGCCATCTTGCGGCGAGAAGCACAACTCATCAATGACACATGACGTTTGACAGGTGTGGCGCCATCTAGCGGCTAGGTCAATGACACATGATGTTTTACATTCCGTTTGGTTTGTGAAGCGCCATCTAGCGGCGGGATTTGGAAGCGACCTATACAGGGAAATCAATTTGGATGGGGCGAAAAGGAATTTTGGCTCTTACCTTCTACTCCTATCTTCTTGGAAGGCGGCAGGCAGAAGCAAGTGGCCAACTTCTCGCTCTTGGGCAGTGGATTCTTCGTTCGTTGCTGTAGGTCGATCGCCAAAGGGATGATACCCACGTTTTCACGAAACCGGTCACGATGCCTTGAATTTTCGGAAAACCGCGTCAAATCCTACGGATGACTGCGCCAGATATGTTGCCGAAATGGCCGTTAGGGTTTTTTGAAAACTTTATTTTTACTTTACTACAAATATAACTTGAAATATTTTACAATGGATAAAATGTACAATACGACGAACAAACGAGGAATCTTCGGAAAGCATGAAGAACCTCTATTTGTCATCTCGGGCTTGGATGCTTTCCTCAGCATTTTCTTCTTCCACGTGCATGCTTTTCTGCATCATAACTTACAGATAGTATGTATATAAAAAACCTCTACTTTGTAAGTAGGATATAAGAAAATGTTTTATAATATTTTCCTCTACTATAATATTTACTATAGAGAAAAGGTAGCATATACTACGTACCTTAGATCCATTGAAACGTAAATTAAAACAATCTGAATAAAACGATCGTGAAATAAAACTTACCAATGCAAGACTCCTCATTTTGACGAAGACAGAACCCGTATGCGACGTCGATAGTTTTCACCTGGGTTTTTGCAAACTCCCAGTAACCCATCATGATTAGGAGATACTCTTCTGGATGACCGAGGAGACCGAGAATATTGTAATGAAGGCGAATTAATACCACTAGTAGAGGACGAAGCGTAACTCAGTGAACGAGGAAGACGTTGTTCTTCCAATTTTCTGATCTTATGCTTTAACTCTTATCCATATCACTATCACAACGACTTCTTTTCGGCATTTTTAGCAATGTTATACACACAAAGAACGAATTATTCGTAACGAAGGAAAACAAGGACAAAACGTAAACATTTGGTGTGGCCAACACACTGCGAAGGAGTGATTGTAAGAGCGGAGCTTGGGCGGGTGTCGGGACGGTTTGTCGTTTTTTTGTCTTTACAGTGTGTGGCCTGCGCTCTCGCTGGGATACTACATATCTGTATTTACGAGTCGAGACATGAGATATAATAAAGTTAGTTAGTTGATCAATAATTAAATTCATTAGTGTCCCTATGATTTTGGAATTGAAGTCGTGGATACCAGTACTTTTGGAATTCTTCAAGAATGTAATAGCAGAATTAACTCGATTGAATGAAATTTCTTTAAAGGAGAAACAATCTATGTTTTTGGTGTGAACTAAGTAATCTAAAGCTGGATCCAGACCAAGCGCGCTGCGCCGCGCTGCGCTGCTCTGCGCTGTTCCGCGCGGCACTAAGTAAATTCGATGCAGAGCGGCGCAGAGCAGCGCAAAGAAAATTTTTGGTTCGTCATTGTTCCAACTGGCTCGCGCGCGTTTTGAATTAACATGGAGTATTCCAAAAAAGTAAAAATTGCTGCTGCTATTATTATTATTAATCAAAATTTAAAACAAAAAAGCCAAAATAGAAAACGACGACATTGGGTAACACCGATGCTTAAAAATAGATCAGTTTATAGTGGAACAAATCTATTAAGTGACATGTTCATTGGTGATATCGGACAATTCGAAAATTTTTGCCGTATGTCGTCTGCGGATTTTGAAATATTATTAAATTTGATTGAGCCTGTAATACGAAAGAAGGATACAAACTACAGGGAATCTATTTCTCCCAAAGAAAGATTAGCTGTAACTCTACGCTTCCTGGCCATGGGAGATTCATTCGCCAGTTTAATGTACCTTTTCAAAATATCTAAACAAAGTATTTCAACTATAGTTATTGAAGTTTGCCGGGCTCTTAATGAAGCATTAAAACACCAAGTTCAGGTAAGTCCCCTTTATTTAAAATTCTTTCTATACACTAAAATTTGAAAGAAAACTTTGTGCTGTGTCATATTGAGGCGTTGAAGGTTGATCCATGTTATATAAAGACACAGACTGAGTTGTACCTGGTTGTGGAGGAATAGGACTGGTTTGAGGCGTACCAACAATTGAAGAAGCGTTGCTTGAGGAGTATACATTTTGATATCTATACCTGTGCAGCTCATTGAACGTTTCCATCTCAGCTTCAAAGATCAAGTTATTGATTTTATGGATAAGGATAGCTCTACTTCTTTCATTTAATTTTCGCAGCTTATTAGCGACATGCTCTCCATATACTGAGCATTCATCGCGACTGGACGCAGGTTCGCTTGAAATGCTATCGATGATGTCATATGCTTTACTCAATCTACGGTCTTCTGTTACCATTTTACGTTTAGGATTTTCCTTTGGGTAGACAAATATCTTTCTTTTGGCTATTGTATTTGTTCCATTGCTTTGACAGGAGGATTTAATGACATTTTCAATAGATTGCTCAGTACTTTGTTTTTCACTTTGTAGTTCACTTTGATCATTGGTATCATCAACAGAAGGTTGCAAATTATCTTGCGAATTTTCTTCATAGTATATCTGCAAATAAAGAAAATATTTTTATTTATTTTTTTTCCAGATGCCAAATACTACAGAAGGGTGGCTACAATGTGCTAAAGAATTTGAGGAGCATTGGAATTACCCGCATTGCGTAGCCGCTATGTATGGGAAGCATGTGATGTTACAAGCACCCATAAATAGTGGCAGCGAATATTACAATTATAAGTCATATTTTAGCATTGTGCTATTTGCACTTGTGGATGCGAATTATAATTTTATTTTCGCTGATGTGGGTACTCAGGGTCGTATATCGGATGGAGGAATATTTAAACATAGTCTAATATGGAAGAAAATACAAGAAAACAGTCTGAGTTTGCCAGAATCAAAAGAGCTTCCTGGGCGGGAAAAACGTATCCCTTACGTCATACTGGGTGACGAAGCATTTGCTCTACATGAACATGTAATGAAACCCTATTCTGGTCTTTATGAAAAAGGATCGAAAGAAAGGATCTTCAATTATCGATTGTCAAGAGCACGGCGAGTTTCAGAAAATGCGTTTGGAATACTTAGCGCAGTATTTAGAGTTTTGAGAAAACCCATGCTCCTTGAACCTAACAAGGCTAGAGATGTAGTACTGACGACTATGTATCTACACAATTACTTAAGAAAAAGTAAAAATTCGAGAAATACCTATACACCTGCAGGAACTTTTGATAGTGAGCTAAATGATGGGACAGTTGTTGCTGGAAGCTGGCGGAGGGATGATGTAAACCAAACCTCAATGTGCAGATTAAAAAAAATACCAAGGAAAAGTCCATCAAATGCTCAAGAAATACGAGAAGTATTTGCCGAATATTTTTTTACAAACGGGCGTATACCTTGGCAAAATGACAGTGCTTAAATAAATAAATCATAATCATAAAAAAAATATTTGTTTTTACTTACTTCTTCTGTATTAAGAGTGTCCTTTGGTGTGTCCTTTTCTGACAAAAAATGAAAAAACTTGAATGCAAACCAATTTGAGATGTAAATATCTTCCCGCCCTAAAAGTGTTTACAAGATATAGTGTGCGTCTTTAGTATAGAGAGCACAGCATAGAGAGTATTAAAGCTAGCTATTTACTCCTACCTTTTCCAGTGCCGGTCGATTTTTTCATTTTTCTTTTTTCTCTTCTATATGAAGACAATAATGAAGTAATTTTAGATTTAACAGCATCAACATCGATTCCCATGTCCAAAGAAATGTTGGTCCAAGCATCATGCTTTTTAGTTTTAATGTGATATGTGTTATCTTTGGGATCCCACAATTCCGGTTTTTGGCGATATAGGTCTATCAATTTTTCAATAGCCCCAAGTGTCCATTCAATTGAAGCACTCATTTTTTATTTCACTTCAAAAAATGTTTGCAAAACTTTATAAACACCTAATTAAATGACCAGCGTACGTTTTCACGTCCAAACCAAACAAGCACAAACATATGTTTTTCTTTGATGTACCGACAACTGCCGGATCGCGTTCGCGCTTGTTCAGAGCAGCGCAAATCGGCGCGAATCTGCGCGGGTTGTCGTACAAACCAAAAGCGCTGCTCCGCTCTGAACTGATTTGAACGGCGCGGCGCGGAGCAGCCATCAAGATTGGATGGAGGAATGTTATCAATAAGTTTCCATGCTATACTTGCAGAATAAAAAATAAATTCGCTAGCATTTAAGGAGGTACTTATATTTTTTCTTATTCGATGCAGTCCTAGGATTTAATAGTATTACATATCGCTAGATGCTTATTACTTGAGTTACTTATATAAGAATCATATGCTTGTATTTTAGTACTGTTTATAACTTGTCGATATTGCGTTTTATAATCATTAACATCCTGCTTGGTCACTATTTGCGGGTTTACTTTATGCCAATCCATGAGGAGCCTCAGATGGTTTCTAATGGCACGTAAGTTATCGTTAAACCAACCAATGTTCCTTCCAAAGACACGTGTTTTATATGGCAGGCATTTTTCGACCTTACTACTGATTTGACTAACAAATTTTTCAATTGTTTACTCGACATTATCGTTTTTATCAATGAATGACCACTCGACATGCTCAATTTCATTATAAAGAGAAAGAGACCTTCATCGGTAATTGGCCTAAAAGAAATTCTTTGATCGTTGAGAAGTTCTTAGTTTGTTCACAAGTGATTTCAATTGCTAGATGGTCAGACAGATCAATCACGCTGACATCGGCACGCCTGCCTATGCTTGCTAATATGTTGTCCAGGCTGTTATGCTTCCTAGTGTTGCAAAAGCTTGATTCTGGCTTGTAACCTATTAGTTCAGTAACAATAACTTTACCTTCAGACAGCCAATGTTTATTCAAGCGTAGCACATCATCCTGGTTGTCCGATGCTAATACTGCTAAATCGTCTAATTCATGATGCAAAGAGTGTATGTTCAGATGTAAGAGATTAAAATTGCTAGGAATTTGGAGTATTTTTAGATATATTATTTTTATTGTGTACGAAAAAACTCGGAAGTAACTGAGCTATTAAAAGATATTAGCTTATTTGTATTAACTACTTTCAGATCGACATTATTGATTCTACTCTCAGTAAGAATGTAATTACATATGTATCAGTCTGATTAAAGCATTTTTTCTAGCTTGTACATTTTATCGAAAGTTTATTGATGTGTTTCGGTTTCTGTATGTAAATATGACAATTGAATTTCTCATAAGTTCTTCAATTATTTCGCCTTGTGAATGGTTTCTATCAGTGAGTATATGCAGGTTCGTAACTTTACTTCGTGGAAGCAGGTATCTCAAGCTATTGCAGAGTTGTCTAGAATCTGAAATATTTTTTCACCATACTGATAAGAGTTTCCAAAAAGAGCTGAAACAAAATCTGAAAAATGTATGTTAGGCTTCACCACACCTTCTTCAATAAAATCTCTCTGTGACAAAAAGGAAAATACAATAAAAGATGCATGGTTTGCAAATTCGTCGCCGATGACTAACACTTTAGATTTATCACTTTCTGCTTGCTGTGTTTGTACATCTATCTGTTCACCAATCTCCGTTAAGACACTGTCACTCTCTGTGACATTGCTTCGTTGAGCATCGATAGGTAGAACATTTGCTGACGTTTTGGATATGATCGATGTCGATATACTCGTATTATGACATACTTCGCTCTCTGTGCTGGCGCTAGTGCGTAGTCTCTCTTGCAACTCCTTCTTTCTTGAAAGTCTTATGCCCGTATTTATAAAGCTTACTTGAGGCTTACTCAATTGTGAGGCGCCCTTAAGTCGAGATTTCACTTTTATAGTCGACTTGTCTGTCATGAGGGACCCTTAAGTTTCTATCAAACTTGAGGGAGCATCAAAGGTACCTTGGGGGCTCCTTCAGTTTAATATTTGGTACCTATTTTAATGTATTTAACATTTTGTGTTTAGAAAAATAATGGATATGGACAATTTTCTTGATTTTATCGAATGGGTAGAATATGTGGAAGAAGCAGGTTCAGCAGGAAGGATTCCCAAACGTTACATAAGAGATGCGCAGAATCCTTTTGAATTCTATGAAGATGTTGAATTCAGACGACGGTAGGGTAGACCGGTGAAATACGCCCCACATTTTGGAAAATGGAAATCACCAACATAATAAACCAATTTTTTTATTCATTAATACAAAAACAAAGCAACTAAACATCGTTTTTCTCTAATATAAACATAATTTCTCACTAAGGTTAAGAAAAGTTACAAACAACCAAACTTAAAAAAAAAAGCATTTGGGGTGTATTTGCCCGAAACTTGTGAAATACGCCCCTAGTAGAAACTTAACGTTTTTTCGTGGCACAAAGATTACACATGTTTGTGTGGTTCGTGCAGGTTTCATGTAACCATTTACTACATGCTTCACATTGAATCCAGTCAACCTTAGATTTGGTGGTGTAGTAGTATTCGCGACATTCAAGGCAGTAATCATCAGTGTCATCAGATAAGTCTTCAGAGGAGCTAAAATGTGGTTCAGTTTCCGACGAAGACGAACTTGATACATTTTGTTTTCTTTTAACTTGTTTAACGCAGGCTTTCCTCCTAATTTTTTTCTCATTTTCGCTCGGCTTTTTTCGTTTGTCTTTTTTATCTTGAGCTTGTTTTTTTTCTCTGAGAATACTCGTCTTTTAACCCGATTTTCAGGAGACGTCAGTTCTAAAGCATGTTGTTTCCTTTTCGGAATTGTATTAGGTATTAGAGGAATTGGCTTATCTTCTCTTAAAAATTTTGAAGGAGTTTCTTTTTCTTCTAAATTTAATGAAACTTCTGAGGCTTCGTTGGAGGTTTGAGAATCGGTAGACATATCAGAAACACCCATGTTTGTATGTCCAGGAGAGAAGGAAGTAGAAGGTTGAGCTTTATTTGGCCCTGGAGTTAAATTAGAATGATTTGATGTTGAAGGAAGAGCTTTATTTGCGCTAGCGGCTGAGATACTGGCGTCCGAAATGGAGAAAAAATGTTCTGGAATGGCCTGAGGATTGTATGGATAAATACCACAAGCTCTGAACCCAGATGTGGCATTCGCGACGGTTGCCGCTTTTCCCCATGCATTCCCAATTAATCTCGAAATATTTATTCTGGATAGCTTTCTATTTTTATTTTGAATCATCCAGTTTTTTGCTTCTTGAAAGAAATAAGTTTTAAGTGGCTTAAAAAAAGACCTGTCCAAGGGTTGAAGAGTTTGTGTCGTATGACTGGGGAGACATAAAATAACTACTTCATTTTCATTAGCTAAATCTAATAGCTCAATAGCATTACAATGGGATGCGTGCCCGTCCAATATTAATAAGGCTTTCCCATTGCCTTTTTTTGGCAAAAAGTAATCTTTAAACCATTTTAGGAATAATTCTGAATTAATGTAGGATGATTTTGGATTCATTAGCACACCGGATCCGGGAGGAAGACCATCCAAAAATTCATCTTTTTTGTTCTTTCCTTTAAATATTAAAACAGGTGGCAAAAAGTAACCTTCTGCGTTGCAGCATGAAACTAAGGAAATATTTTCTCCTCTTTCTGATGTTGTCAATGAATAAACATCTTTTGTCCCTTTAGTTGCTACTACTTTCCCAGGCTTGTTGTTAATCTGAATGCCTGTCTCATCGACATTGAATATTTTATCTGGTTTATTAAGCAAGTTATTTTTTATGATGACATCGCGCAAAAGAGTAAAAAAATTGCTAACATCTGTTCTGTTCATTCCTGTTGCCCTAGCTAGTGAGAGCCCTTCTGACTTTCTGATACTAAGCTCTCTATTACGTCGCAAAAACCCTTGAAACCAATCATCCCCAGCTGATTTGGCTTCTCTGGAAAATCGGTGATTTAAATGAAGCTTCTCTGCAAATGAAAATGCCATTTTTTTAACAGAAGTAGCATCTGGTGCAAAGCCAACTCTTTCAAGGGCCTTTATATGTAAGACCAGCCTTCTTTCGTGTTCTATTCCTATTTCTGGACAACGGCCTAAGCGTACTTTTGAAGACTTGGCGATCAAATGCCTTCGTAAAGTACGAGATGAAATCCCATACGCTCTACTTGCTTCATTTGTGCCCATTTCTCTTGAAATTACCTTTTGCATAGCCTCTGCCAATGCTTCTTCACTAAATGAAGCACGGGTGGTTTTGCGAACATATACTCTACCCATATTCTGTAAACCAAAAGTACCTAAATTAACTAAAACTCACACCATTGGGTGGGGCGTTTTACACGAATTTTACTGGGGCGTATTTCCGAAACGCGGGGGAATACGCCCCACCGGTTATCAAGCTAACATGAAATGCAAACCGAGGCGGAATTGGCGCAATTTATAGGTTAGAAATGGTGTTTGTCTAAAGTGATCCCAAAACTATAAAAATTTTGCAAGACATTCTAAAATAAAACAAAAATATTACATACCTTAAAATTTTATGGGCTCTAGATGACAGTAATGCATATTTTTTTCAAATAAAACGCAATAAATTGGCATAAACACACACGGCCGACTTTCTGGAGTATGACAGCAACGTAATGGCGGTGGCTAAGGTAACTGCTGCCGGACGTAATTTGTTACGGTGACACTGGGGCGTATTCCCCGGTGAGGCGTATTTCACCGGTTTACCCTATAGATTTTCAAAATTTATAGTGAAAGATCAAATTTTGCCACTTGTGAATGAGGCCTTGCAAAAGAATTCAAACCGTGGTTTACCAATACTTCCAATTTTACAACTCTTAGTTTCTCTACGGTTTTATGCTACAGGAAATTATCAGGTATATTTCCAATACATCAAATAACATTCCCAGTATTAAATATAGTAATAAACTATGTTTTGTAGGAAGTTGCTGCAGACTTTCGAGGTATTTCCTAAGCCTCTTTAATTATAAGGAGGGTTTCAATTGCACTTGGAGAATATTGTGAAATTTCCAAATAATTTAATTGCTCAGCAAAATAATATCAGACACTTTTTTCGAATGGCAAATTTCCCTAATGTGGCGGCTTGTGTGGATGGAACACATATATTAATAAAGAACTCTGGTGGCAATATAGGAGAAATATTCAGAAACAGGAAAGGGCAGTTTTCCATTAATGTTCAAGTAAGAATATTTTATAAGTAATAATCTAATACATAACTCATTACTTTTGATTATTCATTCTGCTTGCCTTTTGATAATAAAATTAGTGCATTATAATTTTTAGGTAGCATGTGGACCAAATTTAGAAATTTTAAATCTTGTTGCAAGACATCCAGGTTCTACACATGACAATGTTGTATTTGAACAAAGTGGTCTACGAGTAAAATTTGAAAGTAATGAAGTACAAGGTATGTAATTAGTATTCTATAGCATTTATATTTAAACGTAACTACTCATTTTAGGAATTCTATTGGGTGACAATGGTTATGCATGCCGAAGGTATTTGTTAACTCCTGTTATAAATCCTGCAACAGAGTCAGAATAAAATTACTATCGAGCACATATAAGAACTAGAAATATAGTTGAACGCGTTTTTGGTGTCTGGAAAAGAAGACTCCCATGCTTGAGAAGAACACTTCAAACCAAAGAAGAAACTTCGCTCGCTATTATATGTGCAACAGCAATTTTACACAACATTGCTAGAAACTTGAATGATGTCTTTGAAGAAAATGAGCTTAACGAAGATGGTGATTGGGTTGATAATATAATTATTGTTAATGATCGAGTAGGTGATGGATTAGCCTTTAGAAGAACTTTTATAGTAACTCACTTTTAATAAATAAAAATTGAAAATTTCATCTGGTGTATCTATTTTACAACAAAATTTGTAACACGCCGTTTCTTTGCTTTAAATAACTTTTAGCACAAACACAATATGTAATTAGCTACTTTATTGATTCAATTTTTTTTATTTTGGTTCCCAATATAATTTTTCTGCCTCGGCTGCCTGTTTTTTAATCAAATGGAATTCTTCATCGTGCTCCATGGATCTTTTCAATTTCTGTATTCTTAGAAGAGCTTCCTGTTCAATTAGTGATGTTCTTGTTGAATGGGTCCCACATACTGATGGTCTTTTTCTTTTCTTCTGTGGAGTTATAAAATTTTCAGATGTGTTATTCCCATTCGGTTGTTCTAAAAAATATATGAATATTTTAATTTGACAATAATAATTATAATAGATAATATACACACCGTTTACCACTGAATGTTTTGCTTTAGTGGTATCTTGCTTTTTTTATTTCAGGCTTATCTTGGTCTATGTCGCCCATATTTGAGTGTGCCTCAGTAACTTCAATAAATGCTTGAGATGCGTTGGGTTCAGATTGAAGTTGAGAATCTAATGACATTGTAATACAAAAATAGGCAAATGTGAAGTGTTCCATTGGTACCATATTATACTCTCGGAAAGGATCACAGAATTGCTGTCCCACTCATTTTCAATTACATAACTAATTGTAGGGACAACATTTATTGGATTATCTTCACTTTTCACTGGTGGTCCACCTCCAGTTTGAATTAAACTTTTTCTCATTTCTGAATCACTTTTCCTAGTTCTGAAACAAAAACACATTTGGTAATAAATTAGAAAAAGACAAATTATGTATTTCCTATATACCTTTGTTTCAAATTCTCCCACAATTTTCTCAATTGCTTATCAGTTCTAGGACAAACATCATTTGCATTATATAGATCTGTAATTTCCTTCCAGGCCCCATTTTTCTTTTCGACGTTGGTGGCATCTGTTTTCTTATTTTCTAGTATGTGCTTATAACTATCAACTAATGATATAAGCAACAATTTGTCCCTTTCGGAAAAAACTTTTCGCTCGCATGAATCTATGGAATAGATTATATAGTAATTACTTTAAATTAAATATACATTTTTGTACTTACTCTTGTTTGTATTATGCATTTTATTAATAAATAAAGTAATAGCGGTAACAGGAAGTTCCTATCAGGATTTTTAAAAATACACTGAAAATCTGGATCACTCTGGGAGTATGAATCAGAATATTAATGCCAAAGATAAATATCTGGTTTGCAGAGGGCTAAAACTTTTGGAATTTTCTACTAGTTTATTGTTTTATGGATGTTTGTTTATTTGTATTGGGCAAGTTTATGGGTTATGTTTCGTCACGTTTCGATGTTGCCAAATGTAAAGGCCTACTCATCCGCGGGGAGCTTGAGTTACGTTTATAAAAACGAATGTTGAGGGACCCTTAAGGCTTCCTTGGCTAAGGGGATCTAAAGGGTCTATATGAGTGTCGACTATAAATAGTAGGCTAAGGGTGGATTTCACAATTTAACAAACCATTATTCTGCACTAATAGGGTACGAGTACCAAACAGTCCGTTAAATATACCCAATCAGCCTCAAGATCTCTCCGTCAAATTTTTGGCAGCAAATAGCATCAAAGTATTCAAAACAAAACACTGTAAAATATGAAGTGACAGCTTGCCATTGAAATCTTTTCAGTTTATTAAATATTATGAAATTATGTAAAACTGAGCCAAAATTTTTAAAAATGCTTGATGTCTGAGTAAAATCTATTTTTTCAGATTAGCTGAAGGTTTTTCCATGTTTACTGCAACTTTTGTAATCCATATGTGATTATATCACCTACTGTGTACTTATAGTTTATCCTATATTTGCAAACTTGCACTTCCAAACCCTTACATGAAAAATCCTTTTCACTCAAATTTTTGTTAGGTGTTGCATTTCAACACATTCATACACTTCTTTCCAGTTCCTCAACGATATTTTAACCCCACTGGTCCGAAACTGTTCAACAGTTTCAACATTCATACATACAATTGCAGTTGCAGTTTTTTGTTTTAATTTCAGTGTATAATCAGTCGCACCATCGGTGATGGTACATTCAACATAACCACGTATTTATGGGTTGGTGCAGATTTAACGTGTACACGACGTCATCATTTGGCGCTCCTCTGGCGATGTCCGATTGCGTTCAGGTGCCTTCTGCAGGTACCTCTTCACCACGGTCAGGAGTTGATACCAGCGCGGCTCTCGTTTTTTTGCTCTAGGCATGGCCATCCTCAATTAATCGCACAAAAAACAAGTTCAAGGCAGAAAAACACCCGAAGACGAACACCAAAACAAATCTCTACCGCAAATTCGTCAACAACTCAAACAAAAACAACAGATGATTCACCGCCTGGCTTAGACCGTAAATCGTCGTGGAAGACGAGACACCACAGAATTATTATAATTACGTCAATACGAGCATAGAACAGTGTAGAAAGGGCTTTCCAATGGTAAGACGAGTTCCGAAACCACCCCAATCATGTCAAAAAATGGCTGTGACGTCACCAAAACGTTTGACCACCACTGGAAATCACTAGCTAGTTACCATCTGGCGGCGTAACATGTGGAGGACACTGGTGTAGAAACAGCTGATCCTTAAATTCGGTTACGTTAAGTCGTGCATGAACCCGACATTATTTTTCAGTAATTACTAATAATTTTAGGTCCATGTCTACAGTAATTGCATTATGCACCTCGGAGATGTAGGGATTAACATGTTTTACACATATCGGTGTTTTAGGATGGGGACGACATACTGTTTTGATTGCTCTGAAGAAATTCATTAACCCATGAATTTATAACAAATAATTACTATTATGATGTAAAGAGAGATGAGGAATTGGTTGGAATACATTTTATATTCTATTTTCTATGATCACATATATACACACAGTATATTGAACTTAACAAATTTCGAGATTGCCATGAATTAACAAACGACCAAACCTGCTGCCAAATTTAACAGCTAGAAAATCGACATATATTTCTCCCATTCCCATTCGCTGAGGGGATAACGGATGGTCAAATGTACACCTATAACATAAATCAAAATACATGAAAGTTGTCCTGTTTTCTCTGTACAAAAGCATCATGTTGGAATCAAAAAGTGGTCTTGTTTAGAATACAGTCGAATTTTCACGATTTTATTCAACATTTTAATAGAAATCACTGATATTCCAGGATAAGCGATTCCGAGGTCGCGAGTCTGCGCTGGGTCTGCTCTTATACAAAATCATCAAAGTGTGGGTTTAACCAAAGTATAATTATTGCTTTCATGGCACTATGATGTGATTAAGTGGCCTCAGTGGATTAGTACAATAATTACACGGTTATTCGAAAGCATATGTGAGTAAACGCAATTTATTTTTTCTGCATGGTCAAATTTGTGTACGAATAATCCATATATGGTACTCTTCACTTATATAAGTCACGCCCACGGCCTGCCAAATTTTTGAAGAAGCTATCGAAACAGTTCCAGCGAAATATATATCTCAGTCCCTAGGCGACAGAACACACTACCGTACGATAAGGTTACCATACAGATAGACTGGTAGAGATCACGTGAATAATGGTTACAACAGGAGTAACCCTCGAGGACATATACAAGCTGATCAAGGAGGGTAATCAAGAACTCAAGGGACAAATTAATAGCTTGAGCGAGACTGTTAGTGAAGCCAAAAGAGAAATAAACAACATCAATAATAAGTATAGAGATATCGAGAAGGAAAACTCATTATTGAAAAGCAAAATCCTTAATCTAGAGAATAAGCTGAAAAAATATAACATAGTCATCTATGGGGTAAAGGAAAGTGATAAGGGGCCTATGGAAGATACTTTAAGCACTATCGAAGGAAAATTAGAATTTCAAACTTCCCCAAGTGCCGTAAGGGACTGTTTCCGTGTTGGCAAAAAGCTATCCGATTCTGATAATAGAGCTAGGCCACTTGTCGTCGAATTCGTTAATTACAACGTAAAACAAAAAGTTTTGGAGAAGGCAAGAAAACTTCCTAAAGGTGTTGGCCTGTTTGTCGATAACGATTACACTCCAGAAGAATACGCCAAGAGAAAATTACTTCATCAGCACCTGAAGAAAGCCCGAGAAGCATCTAATTCTGCGTTTATTAAAAACAATATTCTTTATGTCAATGGCGAAGCATTTTCCTGGGAAAAGCTACAGAATGACGATATTGGCGACCATCAGGATGAAGTAATCATTGAGACAGTTATCTCTAAGTAGGATAAAAATACCAAAGAACAACTGATCCCTCAAGATACGAAAAGAGGGGAAAATAGACTGCAATATGAACCAAGCAGGGTCAACAAGTTAGTTCCAGCAGGCCCATCTAAAAGTACTCCTACGTCTTCACACAAAGGGCCTAAACTACGCAGTACTTCAAAGTAACTGAACTGTGTGTGCTTGTGTTGTGTGTTTTTTTTGCGTGAATTCACAAACGCTCATCGTCTTCCTATACCTTGTTTTATTGATTTATTATTCTGTTCTGTTTATCCGGGTGTGTTTATTAGTATTGCATATATTTGTTGCATTGTCTTTATTCTGTATAGATCTAACATATTTATCATGTGGTTATACTCATTTTACTCGCAAAATACGTTGGGTGCTCTTTAAGAATAAGCCTTCGCCAGATGTTTCCAATATGTCTAGACGTCTAAAATTCATGAGCTTCAACGTAAGGTCAATTCAGTCTGGTTTTCTAACTTTGAGGGAGTATGTTGTTGACTATGCTGTCGATGTCCTGGGTCTCAGTGAGACTTGGCTAACCCCAGATATTGATTCCTCCTCAGTATTTATCAACGACTTCAATGTCGTTAGAGCAGATCGAAATAGCAGAGGCGGGGGCGTCGCGTTTTATGTGAGAAATGGTATTGCCTTCAAAATATTGCACTCTAATATCACCACAGAATTGGAAGAACTTTGGATCTCTGTAAAGGTTAATCAACGCAAATATTGTCTAGCTATAGTCTACCGTCCACCATCGGCAAACGTGCTTGACTGTTTTCATCAATTAACTGAGTCTTTAGCCAACCTTTCACTCGATAATGATTACGCAATTGTCATGGGCGATTTTAATATTAATGTTTTAGTGAACGACGGCCGATCCGAGATGCTGAACTGTTTTCTTGAGTCTTTTGATCTGTCTCAGTTAGTGAAAGAGCCCACACGTATAACTTCCAATAGCCAGACAGCTATAGACTTGCTCATGGTTAGCTCTGCTGATATAATAAGTGGTTATGAAGTTGTTGACGTAGATGGAATATCTGACCATCTAGCCCTAATATTTTATGTAGATGCATCGGAGATAGGCAACCTATGTAAACTGAGGACATATCGTGATTACTCTACCTTTAGCCTAGACAATTTCTACCATGATTTACTTTTAATAAACTGGGATTTATATATACGTTGAGAGATGTGGATCAAATGAGTTCCTGAGTTCTAATATCTTGTGCACCTTCAACTTGCATGCTCCTGTCAGAAACATTCGAGTTACCAAGCCACCAGCTCCTTGGCGAACATTCAACATAAAACTCATGATGCGAACAAAAAGTGACGCATATAAAAAATTTAAACGTACAGGAACGACTGCTGCCTGGGAATTCTATAAGAAAATCAGAAATTATGTTTGTGGTGCTATTAATCGAGAGAAAAAAGCCTACCTCGATTATGTTATGAGACATAAAAATTCGAAGACTACATGGAATACACTTAGATCTTTGAATATCGTTAAACATAACTCCATAAGTCTACCTCCACATCTTCAGGATCTCGATTCATTAAATAGTGCTTTTTTAAACGTACCTCAAACAACCAAATCATTAACTCAATTGAACCTTTTAGACAAATATGAAAACGTCAAGAATAATGGTACTTTTCTGTTCACGTCAGTTTCCCCTGCCACTGTAGAGAAATTTATCAATCGCATCAAAAGTCATGCTAAAGGCTCAGATGGCATCACAATTGATATGATCCGTATAATGATTTGCTCAAGTATATTACCTTCATTATTAACTTTTGTATAACAAATAATCTTTATCCCTCTTTCTGGAAGAATGCTCTTGTTCTCCATCTGCCTAAATCTAATTATCCTTCAAGTTTTTCTGATCTTCGTCCTATAAGCATTTTACCAAGTTTATCTAAGCTTTTGGAAATGGCTCTACATGAGCAGCTGCACATATCTGTTTGTCAAACTAATTTACTGACCACCTCCCAATCTGGCTTCAGACCATTACATAGCACCACCACTGCGCTGCTGTCTATATCTAATAATATTTATAGCGCGGCTGATCAAGGAAAACTGTCCTGCTTAGTTCTTCTTGATTTTAGCAAGGCCTTCGATACGGTTGACCCAAATATTCTCTGTAAAAAGCTTAGATACTTTGGCCTGTCATCATCGGCTTGCACGCTGATTAAGAGCTTTTTAACTGATCGCTCATAGTCTGTCATATATGAAAACAATATATCAACTTCTTTATTCAGAAATTTTGGTGTCCCTCAAGGATCTATTTTGAGTCCCCTTTTATTTGCTCTTTATATATGTGATTTTCATGAAACCGCCAGCTACTCAATCGTTCATCATTACGCCGATGATACCCAACTTTATAACTGCTTCGATCCTGATGAATATATGCTTGGCCAACATCAAATCAATCAAGATCTGCAGTCTATTTTTGACATATCTAGTGCTCACAATCTAAAACTAAATCCTGATAAATCATGCTGCATTTTATTTGGGCCCAAAAAGAATCGTGAAATAATTCAATATCGCATTAATATTATGGTGAATAATGAAGACATATCCTTCGTAAACGAATGCAAAAACCTTGGTATCTGGTTTGACTGCAAGCTACGCTTCACTAAACATGTTAACCAACTATGCAATGTGTCCTATAATGTGCTTCGTCAGTTATACCCGAGTCGAAGTGTTCTGTCGACACAGCTCAAGCTTAAACTCTGCGAGTCCCTTATCCTGTCAAAATTATCTTGAGGAAACTGCATTGCCTATCTCTGGTACATAAGACCCTTATCCTTAAAGCGCCATATTATCTTTATACGAAACTAAGGCTGAAAACATAGTGGAGCGGCGAGATGAGCGACGAGGAGAGCAGAGAGCAGAGCGGCGATTGAGTGTCGCGGTGATAAAAGAGATGCCTGCACATAGTAGCGCGATCAAAACAGAGAGATGGATCTGTTGTTAGCAGAAAATTCTTCTCTGAAAATTTGGTATTTTCTGAAAAATAGGAAGAGAAGTTGTAGTGTTCATGAAATAAATAAAAGTAGGCATGTACATGGTGAATTTCATCACCTGTATGAAGAACTAAGGCAGCATCCCGAGAAGTTTAAGTCTTATTTCCGAATGAGTATTGTAACCTTTGATTATATTGTGAAGAAAATTCAGCATAAGTTAGTAAAAAGTTGGACCAACTTTAATTGTAACCCTATTAGCCCAACAGAACGAGTTGCACTGACCTTAAGGTAAGTAAACGTGCACACTTTCAATTTTATATTTTATTCAGAACGAAAACCCAAACTAAAATGAAAGCACAAACATTACTCATATAGCTGTACCTATGTGAAAATATTAAAAATCATTAAGAGATTCTTCGGAAAAACTGGTCAAATAAGATCCAACTGATGCAGGATTCGAGGAGACCCTTAGAGGCTGCAAATCAATTATTTGGGATGAATTTACTTCATATACATCATGCATATTTTGAGCTTGATGATTACTTTGCCTTTGAGTAGCTTGACTAGGCGGCTGATCATTGTAAATAAAGTTATAAACAAGTTCCTGAATTCTCATTCTTAATAACATTTTTCTTTGTGGGGTGAGCGGGCGAATGTGTGGTAGAAGGCTGTCAAAAAAGCAATCGTCTTCATCAAGGGTTTTTTTCTCTTTTTCTAGAATCCTGAGTTTTTGTTCTTCTAATCTTATAAGTGCAGCACCAACATCTGTGTCATTTTGGTTCTTTCGTTTTAATTTGTTAACAGTAGGTGTGATAGTTAAACTGCTTTTGTTTTGAGACGAATCGTTCGTCAGTGGTAATTTATCGGCATAAGTAGAATCATCCAAGTTTGGCTTATTTGGTTCTGATCGGTGTTCTGATAACTGGGTGTTTGTTTCTTCATCCAGAATATTGATGTTTTGCTCAGTTTCGGGCAAATTTCCGGTGCTTACTCGGGCAGTAAATTGGTCTTTTAAAAAATAAAGACTATCAAAATATTGCCAAGATGATGTCCAAGAGGATGCCTCATCCCCCGATCGTTGTACTGGCTTTTTTTTAAGTTCTTTGCGAAATGTGTCTCGCAAGTTTTTCCATTTTGTCCTCACGATACTCCCTGAAATGAGAAAATATTTTTACCAGAATTTAAGCTTGAAGAAGTTTTTTTTTCAGGTTTTTGGCAACGGGATCATCTTTTAAAACTCTTAGTTTTACTTTTCGAATGGGTGCTACGACCGTGTCATCAATTGTGCGAGAAACAGTAAAAGCTATGTGGGACATATTACAACCTCTGTATATGAAACTTCCTACCGAAAATGACTTCAAGAACACTGCAAAAGAATTCTACGAAAAATGGAATTTTCCCAATTGTCTGGGGGCAATTGACGGAAAACATATTCGTGTGAAATGTCCTCCTCACTCTGGAACTATGTACTATAATTACAAAAACTTCTTTTCTATTGTTCTCCAAGCTGTTACTGATGCAAATTATAGATTTATAACGATTGATGTTGGAGGGTATGGCAAGCAGAGTGACGGGGGTACATTCCGATCCTCATCTCTATTTCATCTGATTGAGAGTAAACGTCTAAATATTCCTGAAGATGGTACATTACCGCTCACTATGATCACTGTACCCTATGTTTTTATCGGAGATGAAGCCTATCCTTTATTAAATAATCTAATGAAACCTTTTAATAGAAGAAATTTAGATGCAGAAAAAGAATATTACAATATGCGCCTTTCACGTGCAAGACGTGTAGTAGAGTGTGCTTTTGGAATCATCAGTGCCAAGTTTCGTATTCTTTTCAAGCCCATAGAAGCCTCTCCAGACTTAGCAGATGATATTATTAAGTGTATCTGTATTCTACACAATACAATAATTGATATAGAGGGCATTCCAATTCAAGATGAACAATTTTTGTCCCAATCCGAGTCTCAATGTAATAACTCGGACGTTGTGCGAGCAAATAATAGGCCAACAGCATCTGCCACTTTTATTAGAGAGACGTATAAAAATTACGTATGTAGAAATAAAATTTAAAAATATATACTCACTTGTTGTTTTCATTTCTTCGGCCACAGCATCCCACAGTTTATCCAAAACAAAGCGGTTATGGTGCTGAGAGTCTTTCTGATCCCATAGGGGATTTTTAACAAAAACACTAGTAATAAATGCATCAACATCCATTTTTAATACACAGTATTTCCGCAGCGAGGAGAGCAGAGAAAACAAATCTGCTTGGTCTCGCCGCTATCCTCTCTTATAGCAACGCAGTTACCTCGCTTGAGCTCGCCTCACTATGTTATACTCGATTGGAACTATTGCTTTTGTTTTCGCCGCTCTCCTCTCTGCTCTGCTCGTCGCTCTTCTCACCGCTCCACTATGTGTTCAGCCTAAGGCTAAGCACATAGTGGAGCGGAGAGCAAAGCAGCGATGAGAGCGGCGAGCAAAGCAGCGAAATTAAGTTACGTTTTTTAAATCTGAACGCACATAGTGAGGCTAACGTCGGAGATGCGATAAGCGCTGTTATAGTCGAGCAAAGCAGAGCGTTCAAACAAGTTTGTTTTCTTTGCTGTAATCGCTTATAGTATACATTGAAAAATGAACACCGAAGAACTAATAACTAGTATTTTTATGAAAAAAGCTCTCTGGGATCAAAAGGACCCTCAACACCATAATTGATTTATATTAGATAAGTTGTGGGATGCGGTGGCCAAAGAAATGAACTCTACAAGTAAGTGCTTATAACAAACATTTATTCAGTTTTACAGCGATAATATACATAGTTATTTGGCTTCTCAAATTTTATTTTGACATAAAAACATTTTGTAAGTTTCCCTAACAAAATTCGCAGTATCAGTTGATCTGTTATTTTGTCGGGATCCGTCTGCTGTTTCAGAATGTGGCATTACTATTTCATTTTTAATATCTAATCCTTCCTTGTCGATTATAATATTATGTAATAGGCAAATACATTTAATAATTTTATCAGCCCACTCCGGAGAGATTTCTATAGGTTTCCAGAGAATGCGAGATTTAGCATTGATGATGCCAAATGCACATTTTACCGTCCTCCTTGCTCTTGAAAGCCGCATATTAAAATACTCTCTATCAACATCCAAATTTCTTCTGTTGTAAGGTTTAAGCAGATTTCTCAATAATGGATACGCTTCATCCCCAATAAACACATATAAGGAGCAACAACTGCGCTTGAAGGTAAAACACTATCTGGGGGAACGTTCAGACGTCCAGTATCTAACAAATGAAACAAGGAGGAAGAACGGAAAGTACCCCCATCACTCTGCTTTCCGTATCCCCCAACGTCAATTGTAACAAACTTACAGTTTGCGTCAGCGACTGCTTGAAGTACAATGGAGAAATAATTCTTATAATTATAGTACATACTTCCCGAGTGATGAGGACATTTTATTCGAATGTGCTTCCCGTCGATAGCTCCTAGACAGTTAGGGAAATTCCATTTATCATAGAATTCTTTGGCAATTTGTGTAAACTGTTGTTCGGTGAGAATTTTCATATGTACAGGCTGTAATGATTCCCAAATTACTACCACTGTTTCTCGAACAATTGAGGAAACTGTTGAAGCTCCTACTCGATAGGTGAATCCCAGGCTTTTAAATGAGGAGTCTGTGGCTAAATATCTGGAAAGAGAAAAAATAGTCGTTCAACTTAATTATCTTTTGAGACAAAATATATAGTTGTTTTTTTTATTGTAGTGATGCTACCAACGCAAATTTTATGCATTAAGTAGCTAAAGTGTCATACTACGATTGTACAGAATTTTGACTTCCACTTCGTTCCAGAACAAAAGTGTAAACAAAATTTGGCTGTGTTAATTCCATTGATAGAGAATAAAGAAGCACTGTACATTAATGCTTAAATATTTTATTTTAGGAAATGTTGTGAGAGGCAAATGGAAAACGCTTCGGGACAATTTTCGTAAAGAGATGAAAAAAATACCGGCGAAACGGTCTGGAGACGGGGCTGCTCAATCAACTGTTTCATCTTGGCAATATTTCGACAGCCTGTGTTTTTTGAGAGATCAGTTTACTGTACGATCCAGTGGTGGTAATTTACCTGATGAAATGGCCGATACCATTTTGAATGAAGATACTGAGACTGAAGTTGATGATTACGAAAAATCTGTAAATGAAAGCCAGTTACCTTTAGAAAACGAAAATATATCGGCCACGACCCCCGGCGCGACTCTCACTAAGCCTAGCAAAGTGAGAAAACAACAAAACGATAAAGATATCGGCACGGCCCTTGTTAGAATTGAGGAAACTAAATTAAAAATGTTACAAAATCAGCAAGTAAGAACCGTCGATGAAGATTCAAACTTTTTGATAGCTTACTTCCGCATGTTAGAACACTTCCACCGCGCAAAAAAATGCTATTGAGAATGAAAATGCAGGAGCTGGTCTACAATTTCGTTTACGGAGGTGAATCAAATCCTTCGCAAAATCAGTACCAAAACTCTTCAGAAGCTTTATGCAGCACACCACAGGAGCCTATGGCCTACCATGTTACGGAGTTGCAAACTGTATCCCAGGAATATTCAAATCCCACCTCTGTTGCCTCCTATCTAAGCAATTTCTCCGATGAAACTCTTCACTAGCTTTACAGTATTTACTAATTATATAAGTTTGAATATTTGGTGTACCTACTTACCTCAAAGTAATCGTAACACGTTCTGTAGGACTTATAGGATTTAAATTAAAATTTGTCCAGTTCTTTAATAGCTTATTTTCTATTCTCCCCAAAATGTAGTCAAATGTTGCAATACTCATTCGGAAATAAGCATGGAACTTTGCTGGATGTTCTCGCAACTCACTGTATAGGTGGTGAAATTCACCAAGTGTATGCCTACTACCGTTTATCTCATGTACACTACAGCTTCTGGGCTTTTTCTTATTATTTAGTAAATACCATATTTTTAAGCAAGAATTTTCAATTAACAATTCCATCTCGTTGAAAGACACTCGCTTTTAAACTCGTCAGTATATGCCACCTTCACTTTCATCAACTCGCTGTTCCGTTTACTCGTTGCTCGCCGCTCTCATCGCTGCTTTGCTCTCCGCTCCACTATGTGCTTAGCCTAAGCCTCCTCTGCCAGTACGATCAAAGATCCTCTAGGAATAAACTCATCTTACTTATCCCGCGGCATTCGACAGCATTGTTCACACGCAGTTTCTCGTACTGGGCACCCAAACTATATAACTGCTTATCAAGTGAGTATAAAGAATATAGCCTAAGCAATTTTAAAAAAAGTTTAAAGATGAGTTTAAAGCAGTCGGATGGCTAAAATTTTACTTTATGCATATCCACAGGTAATTGATTGTTTCCTTTCTCTGATAAGTGTTATATTCTAAGTTTTTTTTCTCTCTCTCTATAGTTTGTGTCAATGTTTTCCAGGTCGGGTTGAAAAACAGCATAAGCTGACACTCCACCTTTTCGTCACTGTTCCTTTTAAACCAATTATTTTGTAATCGTGTGACGAATAAAGGCCATTTATTATTATTATTATATTCTGACACCTTTGACAGCTTTCGTCAAACTGCATTTCGATAAGGTATTTTCCTATTGGTCCATAATAATAATGTTGGTGAAATCGGCCCTAAGTCCTGTTTGGACCACTCGAGAAATTCGGTTGTTGGTTGTTCATCTTTCACATTTGGATTTCCCTCCTTTCAAGACATGTGATTCACGGTTGATACACTCCGGAAGAATAATTGATGTTATTATTGGTCAAAAACTAAACAAGTCACAAAACATCTATGTATCTCATCCAACTTATCAGGAATCTTGTTGCTCATCCCTTCAAAACTTGGAAGGTACAATTTATATTCTTTGTTTCATGAAATAATGATACTTTTGGTCAGGTACTATGCTGCGACGTTGTCATCCCACACAAAATGAATGATTGTAAATATGAAAAAGAAATTAAAAGGTACAGCTTAAAAAAACGCGCACAAAAGTAACATATAAACTGTTATGAACAGTATTTTAAACACATTCTCTTTAGCTTCTCTGGGTTCAGAAGTTTTTGACTTTTAGAATCTATGGGACCTCCACTAAATAAATTGAGACAGGCTTTTACAACAATGCTAAGATGTTAGCATGCTTTGTAACCTCATAGTAACTGGATACAGTGGAAAGTATGTGAAAAATATGTTTTCTCAATGAACCCGTCATCAACTGTTTGAAGAGATATGCGCCTCAGCATTTTAACACGTGGTTTTAAAATTAACTAACAAACTGTAGATATGTTTGTTCATCTCTGGACAGCAATTAAATAAAAGTGGTAGATGATATGCGGCTACAATCCGAAATACATAAATGAAAAGTGCATTCTTTTGAAAATGAATAACAAATATGGCGACCCAAACGGCCAGATATACTAGGTACACTTGTCATAAGTTAGCACAAACCTGACGAACAATTCAATGTAGCATACATACAATATTCAATTCAAATAATTTTTTCCATACTAATTACACATTTGATGACGAATTTGCTGTAAAGGCCTAACAGTACGATTTCTTTAGTAACAAAAGCGATTACGATTGTACGACTAAGCCGTCTTTCACCTATTAGGGGCCCTGAGGACATTAGGATAATGGGCCCCCTACGACTGTAATATTTTGTTACACTAGACAAAGAACGTACATATGCAAACTTTGAGCTTTATTTTAATTTCTTTACAGTAATAATAGATATTGATTAATAGATAATAATATAATGTAACCCACACTGAGTAACTGGCATCCACAATTAGTCCCTACACATACATCAAAATCGTTAATCACATCATCAGAATCTGTGCTTTCGAGCATATCACATTCTATTGACATTAGCGACAAACTGTAATCTTTCTTGAAGCATTGTACTTCTTATTTTTTTTTATTTTTTTTAATTTGGAGAACGAGCGTTCTCCTCTGCAGTTAGTTCCCATCATACTTAAAAAGATTGTCTTCAATTTTATCTTTCAATAGATGATATATTTCCAGTATACTATTAGAATCTTCATTTTTACTTTGATTTTTCAAGTATTCTGTTAAATGCAGACATTCCGGTTCTAACTCTTTCTCGTTTACGTCTTCGTAGTAGATTTCAGCAAATTCTTTGCAACTTTGTCGCACCTCTTCGGAATTCAGAGTTTTCAAGCAAAAAAATAAAACAAAACGTTTTTATATGAACTTAATCGGTGTTTAAGATGAACGGGCTATCAGTTATGGGGATAGAGGTGTCTACTTTGAATCTTTCTTTTCCATTCAGTTGGACTGATGGCGTAGAGCCATCAAAAAAGTCTAGTGTGAGCTCTTCGTCTGGTTCATTGAGATAGGTCCTTATAGTCAGATTCCAGGTTTTTTCCTTTGGCGGACGATTCGAAGTAATCAACTTTATCGTTCAGGCTAATTATATACTCATCAAGTGCAGTAAACAAATTTAATTGCAATATCCAGTGTTGTTGTTGCTTTCTGAAGGTAATTGCTTCTTTTGTCTATTTTTTTCTTTCTAATATAGAGCTCCAAATTTCTGTTAGTATAATAATCTCTAGTTGTTTCATTTTTGTGGACAGATTAAGGGCTTCTTCTTGTACCCGTTCTGTATCTTTCGCTGTGGATATCCAAACTTCTTGAATTTGCTTATGACCTTTATACAATGCTCACACTCATCAGCTCGGCAGGCTTATTACCTAACTTCCAACCGACCCTCAACCGACTCGAGTTGGTCGATAGTTGCTGTCAAACGCAAATTTCGTATTATGTATACTAAGTGACAAATAAATCCGAACACCCAGTTTAAATGGTTTTATTTTAATAAAATTTTGTATAAGTACTTAATGAAGCATAATAAGTAAATGATAAAAATTTCAAAATGATTGCACTGCTTTAAAGCCCTTTGACCTTTAATAATGTGTGGTGGATGCACCATGATGTGCTACGCATTCTCCAACGCGGCTAGGCATGCTTCTGATCAGGTGGTCAATGTCCTCCTGTGGTATCTCATTCCAGGCAATCACCAACTCCTCTCGAAGTGCTTCTAGAGTCTGAGGAGGACGTTGCAAATTGAGCAATCTCCTACCCATCATATCCCACACGTGCTCAATTGGGGATAAGTCGGGAGATCTTGGTGGCCATGGTAACAATGTGACATCATTATGTTGAAAGAGGTCTATTGTGACTCTTGCAACATGTGGTCGGGCATTATCTTGTTGGAAAGTTGGATCTGCCAGGGTGTCAAGATAGGGAAAAAGATGGGGTTCTAGAACTTCGTGTATATAACGCTGCGCGTTCATGTTACCTCTGATGAAGATTAAAGGTGACCTGGAACCATAAGCTATAGCACCCCAAACCATAACTCCAACAGTGTGATGAACATGTCTTTCAACAAAAAACTGTGGATTCCTCCTTTCACCACGTCGCCTTCTAATCCTGGCACGACCATCGTGCATGCCTAAACAAAATCGAGACTCGTCACTAAAGACAATACTGTTCCATTCGTGATCCCAGAGTGACCGTTGTCTGCACCACTCAAGGCGATTACGTCGGTGTTCTCGAGTTAAAGGGAGGACCCAGTGTGGCCGGTATGAAAACAAGCCAAAACTTCTCATTCGTCGGTAAACACTCCGCATGCCAATAGGTCTTCCGTGTTCTGCAAACCATTCATTTGCAATGGACCTGGTAGTGGAGAAACGGTCCCTTAAGGCCAATAATCTTAGGCGGCGATCTTCACGGTCTGTTGTTCTACGGCGGCGTCCAGTGCCCCTTGCTCTTTGCGTACGGCCTTCTCGAAGCCATGCTTGACAACACCTAACCACAGTGTCTACACTTCTTCGCACTCTAACTGCAATTGCCCGAAAAGAAAGTCCAGCTTCCCGAAGTCCCACTATACGGCCCCTATCAAACTCACTAAGTTGACGAAATCGTACAGGTCTCCGTACTCTAGGCATCGTAACCGATCGTAAAGGATGTCAAGAACCAAAATCCGCCAACGTTGATTCTTTACTGCGGCTGAAATATTCATTTTTAGAGCGTTAGTGAATTAAAAAAAGCAGTATAAAAACCGGAATGTCCAACTGATAAGGCTGAAAATTTTTTCACTTGTTATTTACAGTAAGATAAATACATTCACCAACTTTTATTAAAATAAAACCATTTAACCTGGGTGTTCGGATTTATATGTCACTTAGTATATCAGTCAGTGCGTCTCAATCGCCGACCGGCTACGGTGGCGCCTCTATGGAGCAACTGGTGAACGAAAAGTGCATTCTTTTGTTAGGAGTATCAAAAAATTGTTGTTCCCTAAC